GCCGAGGTTTCTCTTGTACCTGAATAGAAACTTTCTATTTGTTGTTGGGTTCCATGATTTTATTTCCCCAGAGTATTGTATTATTTCTAAACACTTTTTCCCATTGTTCATTATTTTTATGATCTTTTAAGTCAGATCTTTCAATAAAATTCTGAATAATTTCTTTATTCGAATTCTCTAATTTGTCCTTCCTTACTTCTGATTTAACTTCCATGATATATATATGTTGATCTTTTCTTTTTGTGATGGAATATCCTAATACGTCAATTAATGGTTAATAAAAGGCTTCATTAACCTTTTTGGTTATAAAAAGGACTACCTATGTGGAGAATACGTAGTTAGTTGTGTTAACTAAAAAAAAAAAAAAAAATTATTGGAATTTTTTTTTGAGATATTTTTCTTATGAAAAATGGAGATAAAAAAAAAAAAAAAATATATTTATTTTTTTTTTTTGGAATGATTTATTCAGAGAAGGGTTTTTTTTAAGAATAGAAAAAATTGGTAAAATTAAAATTGAGAGTAAGTTTTAGCACGAATAAAAATAAAATCTTAAAAAAATAAAAATCCTATACTTTTACTAAAAATTTAAAATCTCATTAATTACCGATATTTAATTAAACATACCTTATTTATGAAGTTATGAATAATATTTAGAAATTCATGTCTTTCTTTTAATAGAAATGAGTAATTATTAGAACACAAAATTAACTTACATAAATATAAAAAACATGAAAATTTAATTAGTGTAAGTGTAACATTTTCTTTTTCAAATAATAATCAAAATTAATTCTGAAAAATTATATGCAGACAAAAATTAAATTTTAATAACCTAAAATTTTTCATCAATTCTTAAAACTAATTATTTCTCCTTAAAAAAAAAAAAATTTATAAAAAAAAATTGACTAATTTTTTTTTTTTTATTCAATGCTTGTATGGATAATTATTATTCTAAAAAAGGTTAATAATGTTCATTCTTAACCAATTATATAATCAATATGTATAAAACTTAATTATAGAATATATATTTTCTTAAACCAGTTAAAATTAATAAAATCCATTATACATGGTTTTTATTACATTGTATGTTTAATACTTGGTTTATTATTTTTATATTTCTTATTGAATGACTTTGTGAATAATTGGTTGACTGTTCGATAACTTTGCTAGAGTGCTAAACAAATAGATTAGTAAATTACATGTAGAGTTGCTTCAACGGATTTAATGAATTTAAGTATAATTTTAATGTTGTAAACTAGTAAAGCGTGTTATATATGATCTACTTCATTGAGCATTTATTAGGTTTTAAGAGGTACTTATTAATTTAAAAAAAATTGCATTATTCTTATTAAAGACATAAATTCTCATTAATTATTTATTTGTACTTACGTATATTTTTAATTATAATGTTACAAATAATGTTTAACACTTAATTACATTGTATTAAAATTAACAAACGTACACAATTAATAAAATACAAATTAAAATTATATAAATAGTAAACACATGAAAATTTTGTTATACTTCTTTTCTTAAAATATCTCTTTAAAATTCATAATATAATTCCATACAAAAGTAACTCTTTTGTTAAAAAGAAAAAAAATACTTATATATTTTTTTTTTGTTTTTTTTTTTTTTTCTTGTCAACCTTTTTTTTTTTTTTATCTAACGCTTGTATGGTTATTTATTTTCCATATAACTATCACGTTTTATCCTCAAAAAGGTTCATAATCCTTTTTATTAATCATTCTGCTATAATATTGAACAGATTAATAAAGTGCATGTTGGTTAATAAAAGGCTTTACTAAACTTTTTGTAAAATAAAAGGACTAATTAAATGAAGAACACGAAGTTGGTCATGCACACACAAAAAAAAAAAAAAAAAATCATGATCACTTTTTTTTTGTTTGTACTTTTTTTTAAAAAAAAGTACAAAGATCGCCAGGAAAAAATTTTGATAAAAAAAAATCAATTGGAAAAAGATTTCTTACCAATAAGAATACGATAAAAAAAAAAAAAAAAAAGATTTTTTTAATTTTGTAAGAGAAAATTTTATACATATAACAACAAAATTTTCATGTATTGTAGTATTTATATATTTTATTCTATGTTTTGTTAATTATTAATGTTTATTAATTTGAGAGGAATATATTTGAATTTCTAAAAACTATTCGTTCTATTATAAATAAAATATATATAACGAAAATAAATAACTAATGATTTAAATTTTTAATAAAAATATAAGATTTTTATTAAGGTAAATAAATGTCTCTTAATAACAACAAATGCTCAATGAAATAGGTTATTCATATGTAAAAAATTTACCTGTTTATAGCATTAAAATCATACATAAACTCATTAAATTAGTATAATTCTACATACCCTTTATTAATTTTTTTGTTCATTATTCTAACAAAGTCACTGAATAGTAAATAAATAAATGCAGATTTTAGTAAAAATTTCATAAGAAAATATTATATATGCAATTTCATTTTTAAAAAAGAAATAATTTTATTTTTATAATTTAATTTTGGGAGATGTGTAAACGTAACAATTTTTAAGAGTTTTGTGTGGAAACTACTAATAAGTATGTTAAAAACTATGAATTTAATAATAGATGTGTGGTTAACAATGGGAATTATTAATTTTTATTTAGAATTAAAATATCTAACTGTTTGGAAAATATGAAGTTAGACATGCAAGTACTAGATAAATAAAAAAAAAAATTTTATGGTTGAGAAAAAATAATGTTCGAAAGAAATGAAAAATAATTTATTTTTGAGAGAGTTTCTTTGCAATTAATTTTTATTTTTAGTTTCTTCTTTATGAATAAATTTTACATACATAATAATAAAATATACATGTTTGTAGTATCTATATAATTTAATTGCATCTAATTAATTATTTATGTTAGCTAACATGGAATCAGTAGACTTGAGTTGCTTAAAATTATTCACAACATTATGAGTTAAAATATATTTGGTTAAGATCTATATTGCATAAGTATTTGGATTCTTAAATAAGGATATTTCTTAAAGTAAACAAATGTTTAATAAAAATAAAAAATGCTCAGCAAAGTAGATTAATGGTTAATAAAAGGCTTCATTAACCTTTTTGGCTATAAAAGGACTAGCTATGTGGAGAATACATAGTTAGTTATGCTAACTAAAAAAAAAAAAAAAAAAAAAAAAAAATTAATGGAATTTTTTTTTTGAGAAATGTTTCTTTCGAAAAAGATAAAGATAAAAATAAAAGAGAAAATAAAAAAGATTTAATTTTTTTTTTTTTGGGAAGGAGGGAGATTTTTTTTTACAAAAAAATAATAATGTTTTTGTAAAGCGTTTAATTTGCATAATATTTATATTTTGAATTTATGAGAGAAAATTTTATACATATGAAGATAAAATTTTCACGTAATTAATATTCATATAATTTATTTGCATTTTTAATAATTGTTTATGTTTGCTAATTCAACAGCAATATATGTTAATTGCTGAATATAACTTACAACAAAAAGATAATTAAGTTACATTTAATTATTAGTCAATATTCAATAAGGATTTAAATTTTTAATAAAAATAAGGATTTTTATTAAAGTAAATAAATGCCTATTGAAAGTAAATAATGTTGAACGAAGTATAGCACATAATTAAGAGTTACTCATTCAAAGCATATTAAAGATACATATAAATACAACAAAATCGTAGAGACACCTCTACATGCTCTTTATTAATTGGTTTGTTCAGTACTCCAGTAAAGTCACCGAACACCCAGTTAATAAAACAATTACATAAATACAGTTATTTTATAGCATTTAAAATTATTCATAAATTCATTATATTAGTAGAAATAATTTTACATACTCTTTATTAATATGTTTATCTAGTGCTCTAGCAAAACCACCGAATAGGTATTTAACGATCCAATGCATTAAATTTATTATAAATTGATATTTATATAATAAGTATATAATAACTTACATAAACTACTTTTACAATAAAATGACAAATACGGATCACTTTGCATACTCTATTAATTTGACTATCTAAAGCACTATAAATTACTTTAAATATCTAATTAATAAATCACAACATCATTGAATGTAGTATTGAAGAATCATCACGTTGAGAAAAAAACTAACATATTATATTTATTTTTTTTTTTGTGTGTATTTAAAATAATAAAAAATAATATTTTACTTTATTTGGTTTTATAATTCTGAAAATAAGGAAATTTTATTAAAAAAAAATGATGATAGTTTCATTTTATCATAAAAAAAAAGGTTTCTTAATAAAAAAAAATAATTTTTTCTTTTCATAATGCTATGTATAATATTTTTTTTTGCATTAAAGATTCGAAAATCTAATATTAAATATTACTTTTATATGGCATAAATTAATAAATAAAAGAGCTAAAAATAAATATTAATGTGAATAAATGAATTATATAATAATTTATTTTATTCTTAATAAAATAATATGATTAATTTCTACATATTTTTTATTAATTCATTTTTTCAATACTAGGAAAGTTATTGAACAAGAAATTAACAAATCAATATTATAATGAAATAAATGAATAGTCAATTAATAAATCAATAACTAAACATCTAAAAATATTTAAATTTATTTATTAATAAATATTCAAGAAGATGAATAATAAAATTTATTGATCATTTCTAGAATTTTTTATATTGCTTCACGCATTTCTTCAGTCTCATAATTTCTATTTTTTTTTTTTTTTTGCTTTATATACATATTTTTATTATTGTTTTGTGTCCACTTTCTACGAATATCTCCCAAATGTTTTTTCCACATAATATTCTTTCTTTCAAATACTAATTTTTTTTACTATATTTTCGTTCTTTTTTACTAACATTTCTTCAATTATTTCCTTCATATATTCTTTTTCATTATTTTTCATTTCTAATGCTAACTATGCAAATCATTTTTTTTTTTTTCCATTTTTCCATTTCCTCTTTTTTTTTTCTCTAATATATAATTTCAACTTTCTTCTTCCTCTATTTTTTCTAATATATTTGCTTCTTCATCAAAATTTTCTTGTATTCTTACCTCATTCATAATTGTTTTAAAAAATTCATTCTTTTCTCTTTCCCATTCCACTTTTTTACATTCATCTAATACCATCATATGTATTTCTATCAACACATTTTGTATTAACTTTTTCTTTTTTCTAGATTTCTTCATTTCATTGTTTCCGTCTTGTTCTAACTCCTCCATGTTTTCACGAATTTCCTTCACTTTTCTCGTATTTATTTTAGTTATTCTTTCCTTACATTCTTCTTTTTCATATTCGGCTAGTAAATCATTAAACCATTTGTCCTCGCTATGTTCTATAAACCACATTCTTTGTTTTTTTAGCCATTGTTTCCATATTCTTTTTTGTTTCTCTAGCATAGGATTTTTTCCTGCTTCTATTTCTATGGTTTCTGATTCTTTTGTTAATTCCTCATATTCTTCTTGTTCTTTTTCCCATTTNTGTAGGATAATTAAAAAGTATATAAAAAGATATATATATGAGAACACTTATAATAATTTTTGCGTGTATAGAAATAAAATACAAAATATATTTTTTTTTTTTTTTTTTTTTTTTTTTTTTATTTATTTTATAATTGTGTTTAATCTTATTATATCTCTTTTAACTCTTTTATGTTTTAATTTTGGTGATTTGCTCTTGTTACTCCAATATTTCTATAGGGATATTTTTTATTTAATTTATATTTAATTTTTTTTATTGTTTTTTATTTTTTATATATTTTATTATTTTTTTTTTTTTTTTAATTTATATTTTTTCTTTTCTTTTATATTTTTTCTTTTCTTTTATATTTTCTTTTATTTTATATATTTTTTTTTATATTTTTTTTTTTAAATTCATTTTTATTTATTTTTTTTTTTAAATGTCAAAAAATAACATACATTTTTCATCTTTTTAACCTAATTAAAACATAAATTTTTATAAGTTTCAAAAAAAAAAAAAAAAAAAATCTCTAACATTATTGTACTAATGTTTTCTTCTTCTTCTCCAATTAATATTAAATCATTTTCTATTTTTTTTGTATATTTTCCTTTATCTTCATTTTTAAATTCTTCTAAACAGGCTTCTAAAAATTTTCCTCTATTCAACATCCACTCCTCTTTTTTACATTCTTCTAATACAATCATGTGTATTTCTACTATAGTCTTCCACTTTATTTTTTTTTTGTTTATTATTGAATTAATCTTTTCATCTATATCTTGTGGATGAGTATTTTCATATTTCGTTATTTTTTCTTTTCCTTTTCTATTGATCTCTACTATTGGCTCAAATATTTCTATGTTTTCCTTTTTCTTTTCTATATTCTTTTTAGTAATTTCACTTCTATATTCATTCTCTTTACTTTCAACATCATCAACCAATTTTGTAAACCATTTTTCTTTGTTATCATTTTCTATCCACTTTTTACGAATACCTTCCCAATGTTTTTTCAATACAATTTTCTGCCTTTCTAAAGCAATATTTGTTATTCTTTCCTGATTTTTTTTTTCCAGCATTTTTTTATTTAATTCTTCTAAATATTTCTGTTCGTTATCATTCCATTCTAGCATTAGCTCTACAAACCATTTTTCTCTTTTCCATTTTTCTATATCCTCTTTTTTCTTTTCTAATAAAGAATTCCAATTTCTTTCTTCTTCTATTTTTTCTAATATATTTATTTTTTCATGTAAATTTTCTTGTATTTTCATTTCATTCCTAATTATATTAAAAAAACCTTCTATTTCTCTTTTCATCTCTTCTTTTTTATATTCCTCTAATACCGTCATATGTATTTCTATTAACACTTTTTGTATCAACTTTTTCTTTTTTCTAGATTTCTCTATTTCCTCACTTTTTTCTTGTTCTAACTCCTTTATATTTTTTTGAATTTCCTTTATTTTCTTCACATCTCTTTTAGTTAATTCTTTTTCATATTCTTCCTCTTTTTTATATTCATCTAACAAATCTTTAAACCATTTATCCTCACTATGCTCTATAAACCATATTCTTTGTTTTTTTAGCCATTGTTTCCATATTTTTTTTTGTTTTTCTAACATAAGATTTTCTCCTGAATTAATCTGTATTATTTCTGATTCCTTTATTGTTTCTCCGAAATTTCTTTGTTCATTTTCCCATTCTTTTTTCAAATTAATAAACCATTCTTCTCTTTTCCATTTCTCTAACATACTTTTATTTCTTTCTACCCATTTTTTCCAAAGGAGTTTTTGTATCTCTAACATTATTGTACTAATGTTTTCTTCTTCTTCTCCAATTAATATTAAATCATTTTCTATTTTTTTTGTATATTTTTCTTTTTCTTCTTTTTTAAATTCTTCTAAGCAGGCTTCTAAAAATTTTCCTCTATTCAACATCCACTCCTCTTTTTTACATTCCTCTAATACAATCATATGTATTTCTACTATAGTCTTCCACATTAATTTTTTTTTCATCATTATGTAATTAATCCTTTCATCTGTATCATCTAGATGAGTCTTTTCATATTTTTTCACTTCTTTTACTTTTCTATTAATCTCTCCTATTGGCTCAAATATTTCTATATTTTCCTTTTTCTTTTCTATATTCTTCTTAGTAATTTCACTTCTATATTCATTCTCTTTACTTTTAACTTCATCAACCAATTTTGTAAACCATTCTTCTTTGTTATCATTTTCTATCCACTTTTTACGAATATCATCCCAATGTTTTTTCCATAAAATTTTCTGCCTTTCTAAAGCAATATTTGTTATTCTTTCCTGATTTTTTTTTTCCAGCATTTTTTTATTTAATTCTTCTAAGTATTTCTGTTCATTTTCATTCCATTCTAGCATTAGCTCTACAAACCATTTTTCTCTTTTCCATTTTTCTATATCCTCTTTTTTTTTTTCTAATAAACAATTCCAACTTCTTTCTTCTTCTATTTTTTTTAATATATTTACTTCTTCATCTAAATTTCTTTGTATTCCTAATCCTTCTGTGTTTGTTTTAAACAATTCATCTTTTTCTCTTTCCATTTCTTCCTTTTTACATTCATTTAATACCATCATATATATGTCTATTAACATTTTTTGTGTCAAATTTTTCTTCATTTTATCTTTATCTATTTCATTATTTATTTCATTCTCTTGTTTTTTTACACTTATTTTTTCAATTTTTTCTTCCATTATATTTTTATAAATTCCAACCTTTTCATATTCTTCCAATAACTTCATAAACCAATCCTGCTTTTTATATTCATTTGAATATTCTCTCTGTTTTTCTAGCCATTTCCTCCATGATTTTTTCTTTTTGTCTAACATTAGATTACTTTTTTCTTCCACTGTTAAATTTTCAATTTCATATTCTTCTAAATATTCTAAAAGTTTTTCTTCTTCTTTCTTCCATTCTTTTTTTAAATTAATGAACCATTCTTCTTTTTTCCATTTATCTAGGATACTGCTATTTTTTTCTGTCACAACTATACTATTTTCTTCTTCTCTTTCCTTTATTAAATTATTGCCAGCTTCTTTTAGATAAGAAGTTTTTTCGTCTTTCTCAAACACTTCTATGCAAATTTTTAAAAATTCATTTTTAATCAATTCCCATTCTTCTTTTTTATACTCTAGTAATGTTATAATATATGTATTTTTCCTTGTATTCCAGTTGCACATTTCACTATTGATTGACACATTATTTCCTGAATTTTTCAATTCATTTTCATACAGAGATTTTTCAGTTTTTACATTTATTTCATTTTTTTCTTCATCATTTAATGTATTATTCCAAGAATATCCTACAACATGAACTGAATCTTTTGCTAATCCATTTTTAATTGATTTTTTTTTTCTAATTTTATTTGTATATTTATTCACATTCAATTCATCTTCTTCAATTTCATTTTTAGGATCACCTTCATTTAATTTATCTTCATTTATTGGAAGTTCATTTTTTAACATTGATAATTCTACAATTTCACCATTATGTTTATTTTCACTTTTCATGAATTTTTTAGTCTGTCTATATTTCAAATTTTGTTCACTTTCAAAACTAACCTCACATAGTGGTAAATGTTTTTCTTGGTACAACAATGAATATTTTCCACTATTTATTGGTTCATTCTTTATATCACTTGAAGACATTAATATCGGTTCCTTTGAAATTTTCTTAATCTTTTTTTTTATTTTTTTTTTTTTTTTTGATCTACGATTGCGTAACCAAGATCCAATAGGAGTGCACTATAATTCAAATTAAAAATTAAGCAATTGTAAAAATTTTCTTAAAAAATTTAGTATTTTAAACTTATATATTTTTTCATTCTTAATTATTATTTATATCTTACTCTGCAGACAAGAATTAATAGGAGAATAATTCCTAAAAGGATTATACCTATTGGAGCGATTGTTATTAACACACTTCCTGTAGGTTTAACTGTAGGTGTAACTTCAGTATTATTTTCCAATTGGGGTTGCATGGTAGATTTATTTAAAAAAGCGGTACCTGAAGGAATGGCAATTACATTATTTCCTATTGTATTATTTTGAGTTATGTTTAAAGGAATAATTTGGCTATCTTGTATGAAAGAGGCTGGTGTATTTTGTAGATTTTGTGTTATGGGATTATGTGTTTCCAATGATGCTATACTACTATGTGTTATAGGAGAATCAGTTATTGTGCTAGGAGATGGATTTGCAACTGGAAATAATAATGATTTAGATGGGGTAGTAGAATGTACTATTGTATCATTTGAAGATATAGATTTATTTGCGAAAAGTTCAGTTTTAGTTTCAGGAGTAGGTAGAGTCGTAGGAGGTGTAGAACTATATGGAAAAGATGTAGTGTCATTAGAAGAAGATACAGCTTTCAAAGGAGATAAGGATGTAGGAAATGTGCTACTAATTTTGGAAGCATTAGGACTAGTTGGAGAATGAATAATGTTATCTGTTAAATGAGATTTAGAGTCATTTTTAGATGATGAAGGAATAATTGTAGGAGAACTGGTATAGCTATCTGCATTAGATAATGATTTATTTACAGAAAGTGTTATAGTACCATTTTCATTAGGTTCAGTGGTATTCATATTATGTGAAAGTCCATGCTCAGTTGCGATAATAGTTTTACTATCCATGGAAGTCTGAATACTAACTGAAGGTGTAGTATCTTTGGATAAAAGATTAGGTTCTGTTGTAACTTCTGCAGAAGTTGTGGTTATGGTTTCTTGTGTAGTTTGGTTTTCTGCTTTTAATGGTTCAGGGTTTAGGG